TCTAAACATCTTTTTATTTTTGAATAAAGAATATATAAGAATAAAGTTAAACACTAATCTCTGTTCAGATTCAGTCTGTAAAAGAATGTGAAAGAAACAAGGCCCAGTATGAGTTGTTATGCATCTGTAGGTATGGAAATCTCTCCTAACTACGATTCTTTACCCTGCAGCCTTAAGTGGTGGTGATCCAAGACAAGAAAAAATAATTCAGTTGCTAGTTCATTCTTTGTGTTTTCTGCTTTGCTATTTCAGCCACGCAGAGACACGCATCTACTGATTAGGGAATTATTATGGCCCATATTTTGTTCTTGAGAACGATTTTACCATTTCTTTCCACCAAAGAAAAAAAAAAAAACCCACCTCAAGTCACTGAATACATACACTATGCCTTTGCTGGCAGGAGAGATACAGTGTGAAAGCTACATAGTGGACAACTCAAGGCAGCAGTAGATGCTCATTAGACCAGAGAGAACTCCAGAAGGGCAGGATAAAACTGTCTTCAATATTCTGCATTGAAAGGGTACTCCTTGTGATTTTTGCACCTGAAGGGTAACAAAGAGGAAAGATTACTCTCAAGGCTGAAATAAATGCTATAGAGCTACAGTGGGTGTACAGAAGAACCTTCAAGGGAGGCTCTGAATTATGTAACTGAATTATGTAACTTATGAACTTAAGAGACTTAGTATGGGAATGGCATACATGACTAACAAGTTCAAGTCTTTTCCTATTATTGAGGCAGTGAACAGTGCTGGGATCAAGTTACTTCCTAGATAAAGTATTAAAAGTTCACACTGCTTACAGAGAAAACAGACCTTTCTGTGGCTTTTCAGCCAAGACTTCTTGTCTTGCTATAGGCTTCCAAGGTGCATATCTGCAAGCAGCTGTTCTTCGTACTTCACTATAGATGGTCATTACCTCCCCCCAACCACCCATGTAAGAGCTGACATCAGTTTATAATATGCACAGAAAAAAATTACCATAAGTTTAAAACTGACTAAAGCTAGTTTCCCCAGTATGGAAAATACTGAGTTTATCAACTAGAACCCTCCTTTGGGAATTCCAGGCACAATGTTTCCTGGAGAAAGAATGCACAATGAATACATAGTATGCCTTATCCTTTAGCCCATAAAGTGAAAAATATAAAGCCACTAAGGGTTACGTAACTGATGCTCCATCCCCCAAATGATTTCAAATTTCAAAATAGTTTAAACAGCTATACCAGCACCTGTGAGATTAAAGATTATTCAAAATGTAGGAGTCTGAAGGAAACAAGCAGTGTCACTTACATGTTCATTTCACAGATCCTCCAGTTCCTGTTAAAGCTAAGAAGGGTTGCCATCTCCTCTTTAGTCAATTCAAAGTCAAACACCTAAGGAGAAACACCTGGAAGTCACCTCTTTGAACAAATGAGGCAAGCTTCACAAGATGAAAGAACAAGTGACATCAGAAGGAGTGCTGTTTAGAAATTATGGCTTCATGAGACAGGAAGAAGAAGTATCTTTGGATTTTTGAGACTCTGGCAGAGAGAAATAAAAGAAAGATTTCTAGTTGCAGTTACATGTGCCAGCTGTTCCAAGATGTTTGGTAAGCACCTTGGTGTTGCAGAGTGCCTCCATTTGTGGAAGGCTTATTTCTCTCCAATTCTAAAGAAATAGCTGGAAGACTTCCATATTTCATTAAGTCCAGCTACGTTACTTCTGAAATATTGAAGTCAGGAAACCCCCCTGACTTAATAGTCAAAGGGGCAGTGTGGTTTATTGACACCAGGACTCTTCCTTTAACACTGCCTACTCTGTGTTTTCAGAAATGTTACTGAACCTGGGCTCCAGCACACCCTGCCTGCTATTTCATCCACAAGTTACAGAACAGGAGACAGTATGTAAGGTGACTGATAAGGTTATCAGCATACTGTTTCCAAGTGCTCTATCATTTCTCTAGCTGTAGTTTTCATTGTAGCCCTAGCTTCCAGACAGAGAAAAAGCCCAGTCCTCCAGCCTGAGGCCGCCTTAGAAAGGGTGAGAAGGGATCACTGCTTGCTCTGCAGGAAAAAGCCATGACATCCCTGAAGGGCAGCACCCAGGTCTCTTATCACTCACCTTGGAGTTCTCCACAATGCGCTGTGGTGTGACAGACTTGGGAATCACAATCACATTTCTCTGGATCTGGAAGCGAAGGAGAACCTGCAAGAACAGACCTCTGAGTCAGAGAGAGAACAGTTCCTGCTCTGGAGGAAGCAGATCCTGTTCCAACAGCCATTTTCCCCAAGTTATACCCACTTCTGCATAGCTGTATTTCAAATCATTGCTGTCCCTGTAGCCTCGGTAGCATTTCCTGGAGAGTAAAGACAAAAGTGGTGGAGGCCCACATGGAAGGCTGCCTTTGACTCTCCCAAAACTGGATGGCAATTCCTTTTCTTCCCACCTGGGCTTTTAGCCATGTATGCAAGGTGTTAGTTCTCTGCAAGAGGACTTTCCTGGCTGAGGGCCAAACAGACAGTAGTAGAGATCTTGTAGGCCATAGAATAGGCAACTTGCATTGCTTGTTAACACGAGAGACCACCACACTTCACAGGGAACACTGATAGAGGCTGTACCCTCTCTGCTTTCCTGTACACCTTCCTGAATGGCTATGGTACTGGAAGGAGCACCTACTGTCCAGCACCTACCCACCTGTGCTGGGGTTTTGTTGTGTTTGGCTGCAATCTCTTTGATCTTGGGGTCATCCAGAATGGAAATGATCTCTGGCTTATCCCTACACAGAGAAGAAAGGGAAGAAACAAAGAATCACTGCAGAAAGATTCTACCTAGCACAAGTAATTAAAACATATACACGCCTGCGCCATTACTCATTCAATTACTCTGAATGTTCAAACTTAAACCACGCTAATCCACTTGGAAATTACCTGTCAGGGCGTCCAAGGGGACAGTATGCTGTCACAGTGATCCCTTTGGATTGGCAATAGTTGATAAGTTTCTCCTGGGAAAGGTATGGATGACTTTCAATCTGTCAACACAGGAGCAGAGATTGACAGCTGTAGAATTACTGTAGTGTTCCAATGCTCCAGAGGGTTTCTTTCTGAATCCTAATTTCCTAATTACAGGCTGCCTTCATCCTCCCATGCATGTGATCTGTGTGACAAGACTATAATTCTACAGGGCACCAAACTTTTATGTTGAGTCCTTATGAGCTTTTTTGATTTTGTTCTGAGAGGCTTTCTAGAAATCATTGATTACAGTCAGAACGTTAGCTTGTGTCTGGATTCTTTATCCTCCCAGAGAGAATGCTTCATGGGAAAATACTCCAGAATTTCTGAAGAGAATGGTTCAACAAGACAAGACAAAAAGGAAATACTCTTGTCCTTTTTGTATTGAGAAGTATCCATAGATTGGGATTTAGAGAACACGCTGTGTCTACTTTTTTCTCCCCTTTTCCATCTCCTTTATTCAACTGTAACCAGATCTTTATAATCCCTGGAAACTACCTGCAGTCACTCTGCATCTTACCTGGTTATTTGCAGGCTTGTATTTCAGCCCTGGCTTGTTCAAGATTCTTTCAATCTGCTCACGGTTAAAGTTGGAGATTCCAATGGCTTTTACCAGACCAGCATCCACCAGCTCTTCCATGGCCTAACAGAAAGAGGAACAAAGTCAGCATCCAGTGCACAAGACATGACCTGAATACATTCTTCCTGATGGGTCTTTTTTCTCTTCACTGGAAGTAAAACCTAACTGTTCAGACTTAGCAGGTTTTTGATTCTCACAGAGAAAAGTGGGTACTGGTAGTATCTGTGCTATTCTTCTATCACACCAAAGCCCCAAATTATTGATGAGACTGAAATTCACCAAGTTCACAAGGAAAAGATGACTTAACTCTACTACTGTCACAGCACTAGAGGGCTATGCTCTAGGAGGATGGCAGGATCATAGCCTAAGTGTCTATTTCCAAGAACATCTGCTCAAGCAGTTCAAGAACTGCATGAGAACTGTGGTGAAGAAAAATCATACACTTATGGTCAAGTAAGTAACTTTTGCTAAGCTCAGTCTGGCCTGCGGCTCCACTGAAAATGACTGTGCAGCTCAGTGACCTGAGATGTGAACCCACAGTGAACAGAAATAACAGCTCCACTAAGCACGCACATTTTTAAAAGCTACCACATACTTATGTGAATCTTTCCCAATTAATTAATGCTCAATTTTGCATGCATGCATGAGCCATTCTGTGACTGCTGAAGCTAACACCACTGCTCAGGACAGAAGACATGACTCTTCTACTATGGCTGAACTTACCTCCCATGTCTGTAGAATATCTGTGTTGCTCGGTATAGACATGCCTTTGTCATCTGTAGGAAGCAGCTCCTCTCCTGCCTGCCAGTGACAAAGAAAATGCTTGAGAATCTGTTGAGAGGTTCACTTAATACCATGAAAGCTCACAACCACAACAGCTTAAACTTCTAGTGCAGGCAAGAACCCTTATTATCGTCTACTGTCAGTTATTCCTTGAGGACAAAGAGGAAGTTAAAAGTATTTTTGCCAGTGACCATTCCCATAAAGACAGGTTTTCCTGCTAGGCCCTTCAAAAGGATGCCTCACCCAAACACCTACACGGAAACAAACCACTTAGAATTCTAGCCTCCAGTCTTACACATCTTCACTTCATGTGAGGAAGAACTGGGTTTATTTTTTTTTCCCTAGAAGGGCATCAGGGGACCTAGCCAGGTACTGGGAACATGTAGCTTTGGTCTACACACCACCAAATCTGTTGAAAAGAGGTATTATGTGCAGTAACAGTTCTTCCACAACAAAGTTCAGTGTAAATCTGCTAATGCTAGGAAATTTACTAGGAAATATATGAAAATTAGTACAGTCCTTGTGTACAGGTTATGAAAAGACACCATGTTTGAACTGCATTTAAAAGCAGTTTGCTACTGTCACCATGAGATGGTTTCATTTCTTTGTTAATGTAATACTAGACTAGAGTATGAAATAAAGATGAGCATCTCACAAGAGACTGATCAGACTGTAGCAGGACAGGAAGACTAAGACCAGAAACAGTCAGAGACATTAGCTCCTTCACCAATCTGTGAAAGAGTTTAGGCCCCCAAGAGGTTTCATCTTTTAAATTCCTGTCTCTGTGGAACAATGCTAAGGCTCCTACAGGCAAGGTTAGCTCAATCTGTGCTGTGTTAAGTACTTGGTGATAAAAGAGAAATGGAAACCAGAAATATTTTCTCTTGCTCTATGATTCTGTAACACAGAAAATTTCTGACAGCAAAGTGCAGTCTTCCTTCCTGCAAGGAGTAATTTTGAGATGAGCATACAGTCATATGTATGCTCCTAAGATTCATAAGACAAAGGGTGTCATGGTTGAAGCCCAGCTGGTAACCTGGAACCACGCAGCCACTCACTCACTCCCCTCCCATCTCTTCCTGCCCCCGCTCCCGGAGGGATGGGGAGGAGAATCAGAGGAATGTAACTCCCACAGGTTGAGATAAGAGCAGTCCAGTAACTAAGGTATAATACAAACCACTACTGCTACCACCAATAATAATAAGGGAAATAACAAGGGGAGAGGACACAACCGCTCCCCCCCCGCCAACCCATACCCAGCCCGACCCGAGCAGTGATCTGGGCCTTCCGGGTAACTCCCCCCAGTTTCTATACTGGGCATGACGTGCTGTGGTATGGAATACCCCTTTGGCCAGTTTGGGTCAGGTGTCCTGTCTCTGCTTCCTCCTGGCTTCCCCTCCTCCCCGGCAGAGCATGAGACTGAGAAAACCCTTGGTCAGAGGAAACATTACTGAGCAACAACTAAGAACATCGAGGTTATCAGTGTTGTTCCCAGGCTGAAAGCCAAAAACACAGCACTGCACCAGCTACTAAGAAGGAGAAAAAACGACTGCTGTAGCTGAACCCAGGACAAAGGGAAAGCAGTTTATCTTATGCTTGCAGCTAGGAGATCTGCCCCTAGTCCTCAGACCATCATTCCCATGATCAGAGGGATATGCAAGCTACAGTCTCAGGGCAGAGGTCAACAGCCTGGCTCTCATGCCCAGAGTAAAGCTAAGCACCAGAGCAGTGCTGGTGCATACAGCAGACACATGATCATCTTTATCAGCAACAGTAATTGTTGGGCTGTAAAGCCATATAGCTCCCCCAAAGCTGCAGTCACAAGAAAAAAGCCAAGGGCATTGCTGATACTGTACCTTCAATCCAAGAGGCCAGTGGATGAGGTAGAGATCCAGGTAATCCAGTTTCAGGTCATCAAGAGTCTTCTGGCAGGCTCCCTTCACCAGAGGTTTGTCATGAAACGTGCACCACAGCTAGAGAAAAACCCAAACAAACAAGGCACACTGTGACCTCCTGGGTTAAAGCTCTTGGACAATCTCCTGCATCCATCTTCTTTGGAAGTCCATGTGGAATGAGGCCATCCTAGAGCTCTTGAGATCAGGCTTCCTCACTGATGGCCCTGGCCCACGACACTGAAGGCACTATGTGCAGTGGCAGCACATATGCTTGAGCAGGCATAACAGGCAACATCCTCTGCTCTCATTAGGTAAGAATTTGTGCTATCCCTTTTACACAGGGGCTGCCTTTGCAATAGGCAGCTTTTAAATGAAGACATGTCTGTCATTCCTGACCATGCATAAACCCCCTGCACTGAATGTAGAAGGCAAAGCCTCAGAAATATAAGACAAGCCAAAGAGCTTTAAAGGTCCCTTCCAACCCAAACTATTCTTTGATTCTATGAAAGAAGTAGTTGGCACCTACTTTTACCAAGTTAAGAAGCAACTTCAGAATTCAGTTAAATAACCTGTTTTCCTTAGTAACCAAGAGAAATAGAACCCACCAATAATACCTTCCTTGGGACATACGCTGAGCAGATTACACTGCCCCTTGAGCAGATTACAGGGTGCCCAGAACCTCATCTTCCTCACACAGTAGAGACACCCCTTGGACAGGGTGCAAGCCCAGCTGCTAGAACAAGCAGCAGGCACTGCCAGGCTCACCTCCTCTGCTGTGCTTTAGTTGTCATGGAGATGCCATTGTGAAACTGGTTCTCCTCTGTATCAGGCCATGACATTGAATGATCTTGGATGCCTGCATCACAGGTTTCTACCTTGCTTGGTGCTACCTGGCCCACTGTCCCTTTTCCTGCATCCCTCCTTCTGCACCACTTGCTCTGCAGATGGCTTCTCCTCATCCATCCCCTGGCACTTCTAGGTCTCCTCAGCAGAGTGCCAAGATGTTGGGGGGAAATCAGAACCTTTACTTCCTTCAGTGTTACAGGATTGACTGGGGAAGAATCTACCACCAGATAGTTCAGATGAGGGCGATTCTTCTCCCTGCTCAAGCCTCAAGGAACTCACTCATCCTATTCAACAGCTACAACAATAAAAATTACCATCAGTGGAAATAATCAAACAGGAAATAATCAAACTCTACGTCTGTGCTGATAGAGGGAAAAAAGAAAGTATCAGGATTGATCTCATTTACATTACAAGGTTCTCCAATGCTACAGCAATACTACTTTAGTTTCCTACTGTAAACATTCAGAGTCCAAGACCATCTGATCTTTACCTTACTGACAATAAAGAGGTCGTCTCGCTTCACAACACCTTCCTTGATTTTCTGCTGGATCCCCTCCCCAATTTCCTTCTCATTCTGGTACACGTAGGCACAGTCAAAGTGGCGGTACCCAGCATCAATAGTTGTACCCAGCATCAATAGCAGCCATCACTGCAACCTGCACCTGACCTGGGGGGGACTGAAGAGAGAAAAGGTATGATATGTCTGGATTTGGGATTCTTACGTGCTGCTCCTTAGGTAGCCAGAGGGTGGATAAACACACAGCGCAGCTTTAAGAGGAGCTTTTCCATAAAGCTATCTCGGGTCTGCACACATCACAAGCACACCCCCCCCGAGCCTAAAACCAGGCTCCCACTATTCCCCTGGCACCCTAGTTCCCGGCAGGGCTCTAGAGGGCCTTTGCGGAGCTGAGCCCTTAACACCAGGTCCACGGCCAGGCCAAGACCTCCTCACCACGCACCGCCCCTCACAGAACACCCCCTGGCACCTTCAGCCGGGACTTAACCCTGCGGGAGGGGCCTCAGCCCAGGCCCCGGTGACCCACGTCTCCGGGCATAGCTCTACCGCGGCGCAGAAGCTCGGGCTGCTGCGAGGGGCAGCGGGAACGGAGC